TTTTTTTTTTTTTTTTTTTTTTTTTTTTTTTTTTTTTTTTTTTTTTTTTTTTTAAGAATACAGTTTGCGTATCTGTGCATTAAAAAAAAAGGACCGATTCCAAATTAAATTGACCAATCTCGTTAAAGGTATCATAAATAGTTGAGTGCATGGCTTTTTGAGTGAAGATGAGAAAGGCTTTGGGTAGACACGTTTGAACCATGCTCGTTGCCCTAGGTCCCCGTATATGATTGATATGATCATTGGGTAGGGGGGTCGGCATTCTATGCAATGAAGATATTATCTAAAAAGATTTGAGTGATCTTGTCGTTTTCTTCTCCTCTTAATCTGCATTGGACGGTTCAAATCGATTTCTGCCTTTTTCGTAAATGAAAGTCATGCTTGCTTTGCTGAGGCCTTTGCTTTATTTGCCTCTTCCTCTGATGGAAAAAGAGGCATGAGATACATTGGAAAAAGTCTGAAGGTAGGTCAGTCGAGTAAAGCAAATAACGATTCCATACACTACATGATGAATTGGCAGTGATAAAGATGAAGGAGTTGGAGGGTATATCCGACTACTTCACACGTGTACAAACAATGGTGAACTCACTCAAGAGACGAGAGTTACTTTAGCCAAGCAAAACAAATTGTAAATCTAAATATAGTCGAAGAGGTAAAGCATAATTACTTATAAAATCACAAAACAACTTCATTTGATTCATATGGATACATTTTTCACATATCCATATGGTCAAGGGTTGATCAGTCTACGATGTGTTTTGGACATTATAACAAATTTACCGATCTAAACCACGACTAAGCTAGGTAATTTCATCCATTTCAAGTTGTTTAATCAATTAATTATATTTCTTAACTTAGGAATACTCATGAGGTTACGAACATCGTCAAGCTACAATCTTGCCACAACATGGGTGATCAATAGCACGTTTTTCATACTGTATCGAACCCCATTGCGACGGTGCTAGCAGTCGCGTTGCAGTGTCTAGTTTGCATTTTGAACCAAGATCCCTTCATTGCTTCATTAAAAAATATTCCGCCCCAAGAAGTTAATAAATTGGATTTTTACACTACATAACGAAAAACTGGAGACAAACGATATATCTCCCCAGTTCAAGCCAAATCCTGATAATACAACTTGAATCTAATATATATATATACATACATATATATATATATATATATTCAGAACAAATCCAAATAGGGGTCAAACGATGCCGATGGTATAATAACTTGATATAAAACCGAAAATTGAATCTAAAACTAAGTATCTCTATAGGTGAGTTTTTAAAATGAATCTCCAGCAGTTAGAGGCTCTAAAACTCACAGACATTGAACGCCTCAAAAACTGTCAACAGCGAAAAGTTGGGTACCTTATTGAAAATTTTACACCATTTTAGGTGGAAGTAGGAACTCCAAGTTTTGTGCCAACATGGAAATGTGGAACTCTGAAATCTGTTGTTTTCGGTTTAACTAACGAGTCCTCTCTGTTTGAAAACATCGAGCATCGTAACGCCAATTTTCGCAGGTGACTCCACCACTGTTACTCCAGCTTCTCGTAGAGTCTTGATTTTGTCTTGGGCTGTACCTTTTCCACCTGAAACAATGGCTGCAAAATCCAAATGCCACGAAATATTACCATTTTATTATCAACACGATGTATGCAGAAACAAGAGAGAAACCATTACATATGAAGGGTTAGCCAGCAATGAAGGCAAACAATAGAAACAAACACTATGTATACGAGTTAACATATCAGGAGCTAATCAATCTAAAAGTTTACGTACCACCGGCATGACCCATGCGACGGCCTGGAGGAGCAGTTAAGCCAGCAATGAATGCAACAATAGGCTTCTCAGTCCCACTTTCCTGTTATGACACAATAAACTCTTCAAAAGTAGAACATATGTAGCAGTCTGTAACATCACTCAGTCAGCAGTTCTAATCCATTTGAATAATCTGTTACAATGACCACATTAATCCTTCCAAGCGACAGAGACAAAGCAATATGAATCAAATTTGTAGCTAAACTGCAACCTAAAATGGAAATTTAGCTCATTTTGCTTTCACATTAGAAGTAATAGCAGCAAGGATAAACGAGAGTATCTTAGTGTAACAGCCCTAAGCCCACCGCTAGCAGATATTGTTCTCTTTGAATTTTTTCTTTCGGGCTTTCCCTTGAGGCTCTAAAATGTGTCTGCTAGAGAGAGGTTTTCACACCCTCATAAAGAATACTTCATTCCCCACTCCAACCGACGTGAGATCTCACAATCCACCCCCTTTGGAGGCCAGCATCCTCGCTAGCACTCATTTCTCTCTCAAATCGATGTGGGATCAATCTGATTCAAAACCTCCTACTAAGAGCCAATGCAAGTCTTGCTTTCAGCAGCATCCCTTAATGCAATTAAGCAATGGACGAGGTAATATGTTATCAAGTGTAGCTCAAATAATCCATGTCACTCATGGAATGTCACAAAAAACTTGAATATGCGTAAGAGAGTTCAGGAGATACTTTACAGCAACACCTTCGAAGGGGATTTTAACAAATCTAGAACTAATCAATAAAAGTAGCAATGGACTTGCAAGTTTTTGATAGTGATGAGTTAGGAATATAAAATATGTTCAGAAAGCTAAACCAATTATAAAAAAAAAAAAAAGAAAAAGAACAAGGGACAAAACCTTTATCAAAGCAGCAGCATCTTCTTCAGCAGTCCCACCTATTTCTCCAATTAGAACAATACCTGAAACGCACAACGCATCATATCAGATTTTGTAGATCAATATCCCTTTCTTTTTTATTGTTAATATTTACCACAACGAAATCAGAACAAGCAGAGGAAAGAAATAATAACTATCATCATTCGCCATCTCTAATCCAGCCAGTTCATTACCATCCATTCATAACATTTTACATTGTTGAATATACACAAGGTTCCCTGCGTCTATTCTCTTACCTCTAAATAAAAGGATATCTAAACTTATAAAGCCATGGTCATTTACTTCCAAAATATCAACCTACAATGGGATAAAAAACACAAACCTGATCTTAGAGGCCAAAATCTTGAGGAGGACGGCGATGAGAGAAATTAAAATTGCATTAGATAGACTAAAAGAGATACGCAAATATTTATTATACCCTGTGCATCAGGATTCATAATTTTTTTCCCAAATAGAATCGTGCGGTCAAAAATTGGAATAAAAGACCACTAAATCGAAACACAAATTACCTTCTGTCTGAGGATCAGCAAGAAACTTCTCGATGCAATCAACAAAGTTAGTCCCATTAAAGGGATCCCCTCCAATGCCTACGCATGTGGATTGTCCAAGGCCAACGGCAGTTGTTTGAAAAACCTAAAGAGCATATTAAAAATGAGAAAATTAAAATTGAAGTACTAGAGTAGACATTTCTCTATAGAAGAAAAGAAGGACAAAGAAGAGTAGACATTTCTCTATAGAAGAAAAGAAGGACAAAGAAGAGTAGACATTTCTCTATAGAAGAAAAGAAGTTATAAGAAATTTCTCTATAGAAGAAAAGAAGTTATAAGAAATTTCACAACGGTAAGAGCAGGTATCATGTTTTGCTGATACCCATAGACCAGCTCAACATGATCTTGTCTTCTATGTGAAGAAATCATAAAAATAAAAATGTGGTACCTGATAAGCATATGTGATCTTTTCAACAAGTACTTTTCTTTAATAAAGAACGTTACGAGTGAGTCTATTGCTTGATTTAGATGACAAAAGTTAGAACTCACCGCCTCATAGGTCAAGGTACCAGATCGTGACACAATGCCAATGCGCCCAGGTTTGTGGATATATCCAGGCATAATTCCAATTTTACATTCTCCAGGCTTGATAATGCCAGGGCAATTAGGGCCAATCAATCTAGTTTTGGATTGCCTGTTTAAAGCAGCCTTAACTCGCACCTGAAATTAATATTTATTATACGTTCTTAGCATTTCAAATAGGAGGTTGAATGAACTAACTCATCCACAGATTTGATCCGTGCAAATAGTCAACATGCATGTAATATATCTGTCACAATAACTTTCACTTGGAATGTAAAATCTAAACACTTAAATACTTCAATAAAACACTTCCAATCACTACTGAAGCCAGTGAGCTGGAACAGGACAAATTTTGGTTAACTCAAGTTTTATTTTTTTTACTAACCATGTCATGCTGTGGGATCCCTTCCGTTATACAAACAACGAGATCTAGCTCAGCTTCCATCGCCTCCAATATTGCTGCTGCAGCAAATGGCGGGGGGACGTAAATTACTGATGCATTGGCCTTTGTTTCAGCTTTAGCATCAGCAACTGTGTTAAAAACAGGAAGGCCCAAGTGTTCTGTTCCACCCTTCTTCGGCGTAACACCACCAACCTAACTCAACAAACAGCATGATTTAAGAACTGATGGTCTCCACTTCTATCAACATACATTTGAAAAACAAGAAGAATCAACAGAATTTCAGGAACCTATAAACAAAGAAAACTGTGATCGCCTGGCTATAAAAGTCAGATTATACTATATATATAAGCAGATAAAAGTGGAAGAAATTTCAACTGAATGTACACTAAAATAAGACAGTTAGTCCAGATCCCATGAGCTCAAGTACGCGACAAAAACATTGCACATAGGCCACGAGAATCAAGCCAATACGTGCAGCTAAGAAATGACAAGGCACATCCATTTTTGGGTCCCAGTTCTTTTCTAACCTGTATGACGAGTAAGCTCACTGTCCGGCATGAAGCCAGATCCGTCACATACAGTGTTTCCCATAACAAAATTGAATTGCAGATCAAATATATAGTAGTATCACACTTTTCTATTCGTAGGACAATCATTTCATAATACCTTCCCATTTCTGAGGACGAAAAGCGGGAAATTTATGGGGTCAAAACTTTCAAGAGTCTTTTAAATTATATGTGGAAATCTTTCTAAAAACTGAATAACATTAATCTCAAAATTAAAAGACATCACGCTACACCATAGAACAAGAGATATACCATTTTGGTGCCATATTCGATGGCCTGCTCTGTATGAAAGGTACCGTTTTTACCGGTGATCCCTTGACATATGACGCGAGTGTTCTTATCAACGAAAACTGCCGGCGGAGGCGGAGGAGCAGCTGCGTAATGCCGAATCTGCGACGCCGCCCGCGAAAACACAGATGATGATGAAGATGAAGAAATTTTGCGATTAATGGCCGATCCTATAAGCTTGGCAACAGCTTGGCGACCCATCGTATAGCTTCGATTTGCTTCTCTTTTCGACGCAGCAGCCTTCTTCAGAGTATCACGAACCCAGAATTATACTTCCTCCTTCTCACTCGCCCCCTCTCCCGCTCTCTTTTTACTTTTCTTCCTTTTCTATTCCCTCTTCTCTGCCTTACTTCGCGTCGAATTTCCCTTTCTGGTTTTTCTACGCCGGTTGGGCTTAGATGGGCCGTTCCATATTTACGATTTGGGTTCTTTTGCTCTCTGAGCTCGCATTTTGTGGCTAATTGGGCCTTGGGCCTTCTATTTTAGGCCCATCTTCGATATTTTGCCCAAAAAATTACGATAAATATTTTTAAAAATCAGAAATATTTCAACTATGCTCGTTCTAATTTCGCCATATAAAAATTAAAATTTGAAAAATTGAAATAAAAAGGAAAAAAGAAAGGAGTAAACTGGAGTCCAGAGCTGACTACCGGCATCAGAAATGGCGCGAGGATCATCGTCTTCGAAGAGGGACGAAGCAAAAGGAGAAATGGAACCTGAGATTGCAGCACGAAAGCGGCTTAAGAAGCTTGCATTTACCAATAACATACTTTCAGAAACCCAGGCCAAGCCCCAGGCGTATCCGAGCCCTTCAGCGACGGTTCTGAAGCACCATGGCAAAGACATTGTCAAGAAATCTCAGCGAAAGAACAGGTTCCTGTTCTCGTTTTCGGGCTTGCTCGCTCCCGTTAGTGGAGGAAAGATTGGCGAGCTCAAGGATTTGGGGACCAAGAATCCCATTCTCTATCTCGACTTTCCTCAGGTTCGTCTGTTTCTTCTTTGCTCTAAACACCTTTCTATTTTTCTCTGCTTTGAAAGGTTCCTACAGTTTTCTTCAACTTTTTCTCCTGTTTCGCGTTCTTATATGTTCTTGTTGCCTGTGCATTTGGCACTTGTTTGTCATCTCCATCCACCCCCAAGTATGATAGACAATCCCATATAGCACTCCATGTTTCTCCCATGTCTCTTCTATACCTACGTTTCATCTTCTGATAGCCTTATTTTGATGTAGAATTTATGTGGTCATTAAGCATGTCGAAGTGGAGTTGTTCTCCGTACTAATTCTTTTGCTTTTCAGGGGCGTCTAAAGTTGTTTGGAACTATCGTGTATCCGAAGAACAGATATTTGACATTGCAGTTTTCTAGAGGCGGAAAGAATGTGATGTGTGAAGATTGTTTTGATAATATGGTTGGTCTTTTTGCTTTTCCTTTTTCCCTCCTTTTTTTTTTTTTTTTTTTTGGC